TGCACCATAAGCATCCCCCAGCTCCAAGCCATTGGCCATTGCATTGAGCTTTTGTCGCCTACGGTGGATTGTAGTTTCTTGGAGGATCGAATCGATATTCAGCGAGACTAGCAGAAATCTAGACACATATCTGTCAGTGGCTGACTTGAGGTAGCTTCTCCAGTGCCGTTGCTTCTACGTACATTTCTGAAATATCATCGGGAATTTTCTTCAAGATGTCTACCTCCAGACTACTATCCATCGCATCCGGGGTTGTATCCTCGTGCAGCTTGGCATGGAGATATCTTATAATATCGCCTCTCTTTGGACTTATAGATACACTCGTTACCCTCCCGACAAGGCACCTCTCAATATCAGGCCGAATGTGCGGTCTCCCAGTCATGAATACTCGAATACCGGGAGAATTTCGGAGAATTTGATCTAGCGAATCAAGAAGCTTGACTCGATGTCCCGACACACATTCATCCAGAGCGTCGATGCATATCAAGGTGCGCTTTTTGGAAGATGTAATCTGTATCATCTTCACAATATCGGAGAGTTGCGGTCCCCGTCCACCAATGGCATTTTTCTGGTCTTGGTATGCCCGCGATATCTCCTCTGGAGTCTCCTCCAGCCCGCAAACCAACTGCTTCAGTAGGGCGCCCAACATGCTTGTAAGGGACTGCTCCTTTTGGGCGGCGAAGTCAAAATAAAGACATGCAACGATGGCATTTTGTCCCTTAGCCCGATCACACAACCAGTCTATCACCAATGAACTAACATCACGGCTTGTCAGCACTTTCCTCTTTTCTCCCATTCCTTGGGGCTCGTCCTAGTTACCTAAGGTATGTCTTGCCAACGCCTGGACCTCCATAGCAAAACAAAACCGCGTTATCGGATTCACCTCCCTCACTCCCGGAGCACCAGCTCCTAAATTCTTCGGTCTGTAAGAGCCATTCCCCGACATTTTCGACTCGGCGGCCCCGAATGTCCTGGTGCCGTAGTCTGGGCTCTAGGGGCGACAGCCAAGTCAAGATCTGAGACCGGTCATCCGCAATGGTGCAGTTGTTCCACACGTTAAATGCTGTGTTCAGAGAGTTGATGTTACCGGTATTACTGAACGATTGAGACATTTTCCCTTCTTTCGCTGTTTGGGGTACCGGTATTGCGGAGGATGGATGATAGAGTCGGTGGACTCCTGGAATTCCTGTAAGGAAGTACTACGGGGGTCTCTTGTGTAACCCCATGGCGAGGCCCACCCAATCAAATTCCCCCAATCTCATGCCAACCCACCTTAACCATGCCCCCCGCTTAACTTAGTATCATATACCTGAGCACGTCAAGACTTACGCATGAGTCAGCCGAAAACCCCACATTACGCCCACTGGCAACTTAAAACATCGCAACACAGTTCTCCATGACGTCGATACAGGCCAATAAAGGCCAGAAATCCCTTCAAGAGACCTCGTACCAGGTCCTATGATTCCCGGAGGGCGCTTTTTGACACTCGCCGAGACCACCAAGAACAGTACTGGTACTGTACAGCGCAGCACCGCGCAGTGAGGCGGTGGATTGCCATATATACCCTAATTTACCCCCAGTCCCAACATTCGAGGAGTATGTTCGCCAAAAATAATAATAATAATAACCAACTACCGTTCGGCAGCTAAGCTAAGCAGTACTTTAATTCAAAAAAAAATATCGTCAAATCCACCAGCGAACAGCCTTCCACCGGAGCCCAGGATAATTCAGGTTTCAGGACTAACCACCTACCTACCATCCAACCGACACAGCAGAGTAAATCCACAGCGAGCAGCTCTAAAACCGTCATGTGGGCCATACTCTTCGTATACTATAACAGAAACACTAGTATATATAAAAATATAAAAAACTCAACTCGGCTTTAACCTATTCACACACATTGCTACCATTGAGCCTTGTTATCCCCAAGCAGATAACTCAGTTATCCCAACTCTTTCCCCGGCTGCTTTTATACCCCGTCACAAACCATCACTCGTTAGCTCCGGTGCCCAGTGGTAGAAAGACACTTATCATACATAGCCTCTGATAAGGCACCGTACGGCACAGCACCAGCCCAGTATAGAAAAATATTCTAGATCCAAATGGGGACGTAAACAGGGGAGTATCTGCACATGGAGTAAAAAGGAAAAGGAAAACACCATCATAGGCCTTTAAACACACAATTAACCCCCAGTTTTCGGATGAGGATATCACGGCCCCAACTCACCACATCCCCCACACAGAACCCTCCTCTCTCTCCCACACACACACACCACAAAAGCTTCATCTTCAAGTCTTTATCCAACCACACCCCCTAACCCACGCGTTTCAAGAAAACCTAACCTCCCAGCACTTTCTTTCCGCCATGTACTGCCCGCAGGGAGACACCACATTACCCAGCATAAATCTTATCCTGCCAGATATGATACGGGGTTTTTTTTTCTCCGTATCCCCCTTCCTTCATTCCAGAATTCCACGACTCTTACCGTACTTTGTCCTACCCCAATCTTCAAAAACCCGGCCAATAGAATCCATCGATCGCCCAGAGGAGTTTTATCGATCATTCCTTCAAGCAGACACCACCGCCCTCTTCGCCTAGAGAGCGTAAGGTTCCAAAATACGGATGAAGGGATCGTAGGCTACCCTACAGCAGCTGTAATTTACTCTGCTGATACGGTACGGTACAGTACAAGCTATCGTGCTCAAATTTCTGCATTTCTCGAACATCGTGAGCGCCGTCTCTGTCGCACTAGTTTACTGTTCTCGGCATACTATAAATGGTGGCAGTGGGAAAACCACCTCAAAGGAGCACAAACGGCTGCACTCTCGATCACCCGCGTAGAATTAAGTTGTGTTCTATCATATCATGCGTTTTACTTCTCTCATTGATTTACGGTATTTCCACAGTGTATGGTAGTGTGGCTGCAAGCGATGTGACCCTCCGAAAGGTGGGGCCTCCGCAAAGGGCTAAACAGAAAGCCGTCAAACGAACGGACCAAGAGATTAAGCCCATCTCGGTATTTTGAACCAGTGTTAAGCGAGATCGCGCCCATCTTATAGTCTACTCGAGTAAGGGCTTATGAGAAGTTGAGTGACAGACTTATAAAATTTGGGAAAACCAACCCGCCCCCCCCCCCATTCAGTCGCTACTATCCTAACAGGAGATATCATACGATGCATACCCGTACGTCACGGCATATCACCACCACCACGCCCTAAGCCCTACTTGCGCCAAGTAATCACGCACGGACACAACACTCAGCACACAAAAATATTTAAGGAAAGAGAAAGAAAAAAAAACTGCAAGCTCCCCGACTCGAACCCCAACTCCTCCACAATGCAAAAAAAAACTGTTTAGCTCATCTTTGTGAAGCGTGTCATCCTTAGTGCAGGGGCCATGCTAATCTTCTCTGTATCGTTTCAAATTGACCAAATGTCCCGAAGGACGAAAGTATCTATTTATTGCTCCCTATATACCCCCCTCCTCCCCCTTCTTCCCTCTAACACCAACAACAACCACTCCACGCAGAAATCCCTCCTTTTTTTTTTCCCCTCGCGTGGTGTGTGGTCTATTTCCACGCGAAGCAACCGCATTTATTTATTCCATTTTATTTTACTTTATTCTCCGCTGCGGACGATAACTTAACGAGCCATCCGGTAATCCCCGCCGCCTCGGTCTAGACCGCTATAGCTCCCTTCTCTCTCTCTCCAACAGTACGGTAGGAAAAAAAAAACCCCTCCCGTTTTTTTTCTATTTCGGGCACCGCAGACGTCCAACGTTTCCTCTTTTTTCCCCCCAGCGTCGGTTCGTCCGTCTCACCTATCTTAGCGATGAGGATTAAGTTACAAGTACTCAAGTACCGTATCGTACTCACAGCACAGCCACGTGCGGCGCAGATCTCGTGTTTCAAGCGTTCGCGTTCGATCAATTTATTCCGCCGATTCGGATTCGGGGGGTTATTATTGTTTATTATTATTTTGTCGCTCGCCTACGGTGGAGTTTTTCTCCTGGTCGGGTTCATGAATCGTTCGTCGTGCTGGTACAGTACAGTACAAGTACCGTAATCGGCCTGGTGGGTGGGTTTCGTTTCGGACATTTGTTTTGTTTTATTCTATTTTATTGGTCGGGTCGGTACGGTAGTAGTTAGGGCTAAGTATGGTATTTCTACGGTACTGCGCTGTATCGGTAGATAATTTAATTTACTACAGTATCATACGCGGTTTCTCGTTACGCTCTCGGCGCTTTTGTCGCGGGACTACTGTGCTGTAACTGTACGGTACGGTAGGTGGGTAGGTCTAGACTCCTGGAAATCCACTCAGGTAACGGGTGCTGCACCCGCGGCAAATAACAGTATGATACTCCAACACATCCAAGAGTCATCACATACTATCACTCGAGAATCACCCCCCCCGTAGCCGCCGTCCGCAACGCGGGGAATCCTGGCCAGGTAGAAACTGGGGTGTGAATGGGGGAGGGTGGGGAGCTTTAGCCATTTTCTGGTTATCGCGGGGAGGACAGTCCAGCCAACACGCTGCCGCTCATTTACGGATTGGTTTGGAAGAATCCTTAACGCAGGATGGCAACCCCGTGACGATCCGGGTTGTCTGCTCTGCCTAGCTGGGATATACTGGGTTGTGTCCCTGAGAGGATTGCGCTATCACCTAAAGGTGCCGTTTGGACGAGGACGATGTGAAGTGTAATGGAGGGTTGGTTGGGGGAGCAGCCAAGATGGAAGTTGCGGAGGGCTACAGAGTGGGACCTCTTGTGTTGCCTGTATGGTAGCCCACATGGTTTATCGGACTATCGCTAAGGGGGTATCACACATTGCGCAGCTTTGTGGCAGACGTACTGGAGGTGGATTGGGATGTGATTTGTTGGTGATAGTGATTTATCGGTACATACCTGAAGCAAAAAATCTAGGCTGAGATAGCGGCCTAACGCTAACTGCTTCATGGCATTGGGATTTTCAGGTCATTTTCATAATGTGAAGGAGAGAGTGTTGGAAAACAAACTCTTGTTTTTTTTCTTTTTTCCTCTTTGATATATTTGGAAAACTTGTGAATTCACCCCCTCCCCCCATCCTCCATGGCCAAGATAACCACCAAAAAGTTCAAGACTACCCAAGTACCCAAACACTAAGAGACAACTCGAGTTACGCATGAAATAACCATCCCTCATCCAGGCCGCCTCTTTGTTATCGCCCCTAGCCTAGAAGCTTCACCACGGCAATATTCCCCCTCAAGGTGGCATAATAAGCTGCCGTCTTTCCAAAATTATCTTCGGTAGAAATTCCCACTCCCATCTCCAACAGCCTCCTCACCACCTTCTCATTCCCCAAAAATGCTGCCCAGTGCAGCGCAGTCATGCCCGCCGTCCCCTTAATTGAGGCGTCTGCTCCTTGTTCAAGCAGCAATGCCACTATCCCCTCAAAGCCATGCCGAACAGCCCTGTGCAGCGCCGTCCACCCATTCCGCGAGGCGTTAATGTTGACCCCTTTCTGTAGCAGCAGCCGTGCAAGTGGTTCATGGCCTTTGACCGCCGCCCATTGAAGTGCCGTCAGGCCGTCCTTCTCCTCGAGCGCTAGGCGGTGTATCCGAGGGGTGAGGAGTCGTTCGTAGAAGTGGCTAGTTCGGAGTAGTGAGTTGAGATCTCCGGGGCAAAGGTGCTCGGTAACCTCCAATAGAATCTCATTGGGGAAGTCGAAAAGTGACATCTCGACCTTTTTTGGGGTGTACGTGCGTGCGTGCGTGCGGTGTGTATGCGTGTGTTTGGATATGTTCTGGGAACAATCGGAAGTTTCTTTCTCTCCGCTTTCTTCCCCCTCTCTGCTTCCTTTTTGCCTCGTTCTCGTCTCTTTTTAAAACTCCCCTTGTCGGTGAAAGGCTCTCATGATAGTGAGCAGCTCTCTGAATTGGAAAAAAATAGGTCGCTGGTTATATACCGCACTTTTCCAGGAACTGCGTTAGTAGATTCCCATGCAGCTCGGGCAAACTCACACGTACGGTTTAGTCGGCGGAGGAACCGGAAGGGACGATTCTACCGCACTCACTCTTATGCTGTGCCTGAGCATAAGGTAAGGCTAGAGAAGAATAGTTTTCCTATCATTTTTCCCAATCACTATTATTCCTACCCCTTTTTCTGCCCTTTGGAATCACTCCATCTCAAGCAACTGGTGCCAGAGGAGCAGATCGGCCTTGCACAATACTAGGGCAACAACTAGACTCAATTAAATTCAATTGAACCCAGTTTTAGTCTCCGAGAACCAACGTACCCTAGACAATTCCGTGATTCTTCCAATAAGTTCTTCCGGGTCCCTCCCTGCAAGAAACTGGAGGAAGAAGAAAAAAAAATCCCACAATCACGAGCCAGCAACATCACATCTACAGCAATCAGAATAGAAAAAAAAAATAGGAACATCGACAACGCGGTACAGATAGATACCTACCACACAGGAAAAGTTGCCCTCCTATCCGTAGCTCCTGCGTGAGAGAGGGGAAGAAGAAAAAAAGGCGATACGTAAAGAGCCTTTCAGTGCTCGAATCCTCGCCTTCTGACCAGATACTGTGTAGTAACACAGTTAGCAAAAATGGTTAGTTCTGCTTAACCGAACAAACAACCAGGCAGAGGACATACACTTACTCCCGATAAACGTTCCCCAAATCCGCAACAACACCTAACTAGATTGTCTTCTTCCCCGAAAAATACCCCCTCCCCACTCCCCATTATCCTATTCACCTGCTAGATGCACACCCTCGTCATTTTTTCACGTTTATCGTGGGTCCCGCCCATAAGGATTCAGTAAAAGTTTCGGGAGGAGGCTAATGCAGGGGATCGTGTCCAAACTATGTCACCAACTTCAAGGGCTTTTTTCCTCCCACTGCGCGCCAATTCATTTTTATTCCTTAATTAGCATTTTAGCGAAATGAAAACGTAACGAAAGGGAATGAGACGGCGACGGATAGATTTGGTTGGTAGGAATTAATCCGTTCCGTTCACCCCCTACTATATCTGCACTGCAGGTATGGGCAGATCGGCCAGCCTGCAGCTGTCACGGGCAAAAAAATCTCCTAAGGTGATACCGCAACCGCAGGAGTGTCATCACAGGAGGTCACTCGCGTGGTTTCGTGCAGCCGACCCGCATAACAGGCCAAGTTCCTCCATCACGTGTTTCACGATACGTATTCGAAATACTGGTCCCGGGGAATCGGCGCTTGGCTGGTTGGTTGGTTGGGAGGATTTCGAGTTGTCGGGCCACCAATAGGGTACCGGTATGGCAATATACTTTCGTTCTCTCCTGTGAGCCTCCCCGTTGTCAACGGGATTTCGGGCAGTTTCATGTACCTCCGTCCTCAGTTTTCGTACGGTTGAGCATCGTACGGTATAGTGTGGTGGTGGGGCCATCAAGCCTTACCGGTAGTGCCATCGTCTTTGCTAAGAGGTGACATCAACCGTCATCTCGAACGGGGTGGTATGATACACGTATCGAGGGAGGGGGAAAGGCAATGCTCGTGCTTGATGGATGTATTTGAGCCATCGTGCTATTTTTGGTGCCCCCTTCTGGCACTCGGAGTTAGAAACGGGAGATATTTCACTGGGTTTCATAGTCACAGTAGTACTTATCATAATTGTTTTGATGCATGGCCCTTATGAGGTCATTATTCCTGTTCGATCCACCGGCGCACCTTGTCTCTCTGAATGAAGACTTGGGGATTGTGCTTTGTGCGTATCGCACCGCGTGAGTTTGACAGGTATCGCGGTATCCGCCGGAGTTTTTCCTCACCGACTTTCCCTTCTGATTGGTGCTTGGTGCGAGATCCCGTATCGTGTGCATAGATACGTGGGTGCAACCTAATATAGGGCTAGGAGATGGTGGTTGGGAACGTTTGACATGTATGATGTAGTACTTGGTGGTGTGGACGTATCGTGAGGGGTTAAGTGCTCATTGAAACACTATATTCCTCATTACTAAGTGTATATTGAAGTCGGTGAGAACGTGAAGGGGAAAGAGTGCTGCCAAGCCTAGTAGGATCCCCAATGGTATCCTGGCCCTGTTATTGGGCGGATGCCACCCAATTCCCAATCAGCTACCACCTGTTTACATCAAACATACCCCATGAATCGAATTGCTGAAGCGCTGACACGGCGATAGTCCTCTAATCGCTTAAAATTACCGTGCTGCGCACAAGCAAGCAAGTGCTATGTAGTATCATATCAGAAAAGGTGGTACATAAGAGCCACGACATAAAATCGAAGTGGGAAAAGTCACAAGTTCCAAACACATTTTTCCTTTTTCCTCTAACCTCTAACCCAGAAGACGCTCAAGAAGGTACTATCAGGTATAACAATGAAACATGACTGAGCATGTAAACTCTCTCCAATAGGCAGCTTTGGTGCTCATGCCAAATCTCACCATCACAAGCTTCACGATGTGCAACAGTGACAGGAGAGCCTCCAAACGCCCCCTTTCACACCGACGGGCCCAGTACGCGAGAGCTTGAATCTCAGGTCCGATTATTACCACAAGTTTCTGCTCAACGATACACGACAAAGACTGGAGGGCCGGGGTGGAACGAGCGCAGCTGATTAACCAATACCTCGCCAAGCCAGCACAGCACTTCCCCGAACCGTAACGCGATCCCTGGAATCACAGGGCAGCTTACGGTGCGGTAGGGGGGCAATCATGGACCAACGACAAATCCGAGGGGAGATATCAGCAAAGTCCACCAAAATCCACATACAAAAACCAGCCATCCGAGAGCTATCCCGAACGACCAGACTACTTTGAAGGAAAAACACGGTCCTCAGGGACCCCTCCCCCATGCGATCCTCCAGCGCTCCCAGCAAACCGGAAACAGGCCGCCGATAGTCTACTCTCTTCCGAGCGACTAACCCTACCGGGAATCACGAGCCATTCAATACACCACCCAAACCCGGAGAAAACCCAACCGCACATCCCAGGCAGACCGCATCATTGCTTTTCACGTTCAACACACGCAATACGCCACTATAATGCCATAATCAAGTCCCCCAGCACACTCCCTCCAGGTCAGGCGGGAATTGTCACAACCCCCACATGTTTATGTGGAATATTTCTCCCCTTGGTTCCCCATCTCTTCTCTTACAGAGGTATCTGGCGATAAATGGTTATAGGGATCTCAGGCAAGCTATAACAGCGGTACGGAAAACCCGGGCCCCGTATATGCTTATACTGCACCGTTACATCACCACTACTCGTTCTATTCCCAATTACCAGGGTCTAAGGCTTGTTTAGGAATCGGCAAGGGATACCACCGTGCTGCTACTAGATCTTGCTGTTCACGAGAGACGCAGGAGAAACAAAAATAATAACAATAAAGCCGGGGTTGGTTGGAATCCATAATCTCTTTTATTCATCTCCTATCAAACCTTGTTTCTCGACGCGGACCGCTTCGAGCAGCACTAACACGATAGTGATTCTCAGACAACCCAGCAGTATGGCACCCCGGTTTTACTCGTTAATCTTGATAACAACCTTACCTACATTCACGATACAGGTTAGTACTGTCACACGGCAGTAATTGGCATGATAAAAGAAATGGAGGTGGTACTACGTACCAATGTGCTTCTGCTCCCACTGGTACAGGTACGCATCCTTAGCCTCCTTGAAGCTAAAGGTCCTCTTATCAACAATAGGCTTAATCCCATTGACCTCGATTGCAGCATCCATCTCTAACATCATGTCCCTACTCCCAGCCAGGACACCACGAACAGTGCAAACCCTGAGGAGGGACTGCATAAGTGAGATGTCCTCGGAAGTCTGCTTCTGCGCCACGAACCCGACCATACTGATGATTCCTTCAAACTTGATCGCGGCCAGCGATTGGGGGAGGGTATACGGTCCACCGATTTCGACGATGCAGTCGAAGCCAGCGTTCTTTGGTGTATGCTTTCGTGCCTCCTCTCCCCAGTTGAGGGTTTCCTTGTAATTGATCACAACGTCTGCTCCCTGCTTCTTGAGGAACTCGGACTTCTCTGCGCTGGAGGTAGTTGCCACGACGAAGGCGCCTGCGGCTTTGGCGAACTATTGGAGTGAGGAGTCAGGGTTCCTTTCAGGGAATCAAGGTGTTAATGTTATACATACCTGGAGAGCAAAGACACTGACACCACCAGTCCCCTGAACCAAGACATACTGTCCAGGCTTCAAAACCTTCAACCCATTCAGAGCGTTCCAGGCAGTAACCGCAGCACAAGGGAGCGTAGCACCCTCTTCAAAAGTCAATCCCTTAGGCAAAGGAACCAACCCCTGCTCATGGAAAACACCATACTCCCTCAGCGCTCCATCCAACACACCCCCGAGACCCGTCATAATGGACAAATTATCTATAGCGCCATGCTGATGCCCCTGATTGAGCAAAGTCACGACCCCATCGCCCTCCTTGAAATCCTTGACCTGCGGCCCCACGGCAACGACTTCACCAGCTCCATCCGAAGTGGGTACGACTCCGGAAGAAGCAGCTACATTCATTAATCCATTCATTAAAAACGATTAGCGCAATCTCTCTCACCACGGCATTATACAGTCAATAGGAAGAACGGAACAACTCACGAAACGGATACAGCCCCATCAGGATAGCCATATCTCGGAAGTTCAACGACACTGCCTTCATCTTGACGAGGACATCGCGAGGTCCCAACGAAGGGATCTCCTTCGTCTCTAACTCCAACCCATCGAAGCCAGCCTTCGCACGGCGGATAACCCACTGAGCAGTGGACTTCGGAATGCTGTTATTTGAAGGTGACATATTTATGCTCGATATCGCCGAAAACAGGGAATGCAAGATGTTGTTGCCTTTTTATGGGTTCTTCCCTAACAGCCCTGATATATTCACGGGGGCCCATTTTATATTAAAACCAGTCTTAACCCTCGCCAGGTTAGCGACGTCATCCCCCCCATATCAATCCATTCAATCCACCTGCCCCGTCTCCCATGGACTTCCGTAGAATCATTTTCCTACCTTTTCCTTATCCTTAAAAACCGGTACGGCGGAAACGAGAAACTGTATTTCTAAGCGATTCTTCGAAGGAGAGAAAGGAAAAACGGCTCCTTCCCCTCGAGAAATAGCGCACCGTAAGAAGTAGAACAGCGGAATCCCATGCTAGGAGGTTGGAGTTGCCTCTCCCAGCAAGGTCTGTTGTACCAGTATGAGTATTTTCCTTTTGATCTGCCCCTAGGAGTACTCGTGCCTTCGAGCCAAGAATTGGCACCTCTTTTGGAATAGTCCCCTCGGAGCCATAAAAAGTTTAGCGTTTGAGCCATCTCAAAGACTCTATTACCGGTGACACAAAATACAGTGCCACATAATGAGTGGGAGTGGCCGCTGGCACGGCAGTCGCAGAGTGCAATCCCTCACGCTACAAGAGCAGCCTCAAGACTACACTCTCTACGGCCCCGTGGAGGTTATTCCAACAGAGGTGCCAACTCTTGGCGTTGAGGCACGAGTACAGAGGGCTGAAAGCCTGCCTTTCGGTATGCTCCATCCAAAGAGAGGAATTTCAGACGTCTCAGCACGAGGTTCAATTATTCCAGTTCTTACGGTAAACGTTTCCTCAAGCAAGGCTGACTGCAGAGCACATGGTGCAAATTACCGTTGTAAGCCCGTTTTGTAAGCCAGACCAGTTGGCCGACCTACCGAGATGGAGATATCGGAGTAGAAAAATAATAATAATCAGGAGCAGCAAACTTCCGATAGCAAGCTGCTAAACACAATGTTGCGGGCCACCGCAGGTGGTGTGGCTTGGAATAGAGTTTACTGGAACGGAACCGAGACAATTCCACGATATTCTTCCCTATTCACACAGGGTGGTGGTGCACCCGCGGAATCGCGCGGGGGGGGGGATTTAACCTCCCAAAAGAGTGCTCCCGGACGGTCCCGCGGAACTCGAGGGTTGATAAGAGTAAACTCATCAATCACTATGAGTATCATACCAAAAAGCAAGGAATGCTGGAGTGTACTGTACCGCGTTCCTACTGTCGAGTACAGTACCTTCCTCCAAAGAGGAGAAAAATTTAATAGGAGTATGATAGGACTATCATACCCAGTTTAGCACCCAGCGTAAAGTGCTGCGCGATTAGGGTACAAGCTAACATCATATCATACTCGTAACCACCACGAAAAGCCCCCCACAGAATTCCCTCCACAATTAACTCAATCCTCCGACAAAAAAAAAAAAAAAAAGAAACGGGATAGCAAAGTAAGCAAGAAGGAAAGAAGTGAGAGAAGAAGAAACATTCTTAGCTATCGGAACGATCACACACACTCGCGTCCGCAAAGCGCTTGTAACCCCCGAGGTGTCACATAATACCCCATCAACTCTAGCCCTGTAATCAGTCGAAGAGCGCACATCATCGACAACCCCAGCTCAAGAGAAATCTTCTTCAATCCGGTATCACAACATCAAATTCTACCCGAGTACAAAAAAACGGTTTCCCCATTCCTTTCTTCCGACAGAAAATAACTTGTACACTCTCCCAGCAGAAAATCTGGGGAGACCTGGGCGGTATCATACATCAGGCGTTAAAGTTAGAAGCTTTGCGGGCCCGAGTGCACGAGTTATGAACAAGTACGGTACATCAATCACGTGACGGGTATTACTCATCTACACCCTAGCAAAACCAAAACGGAGAAAGAAAAAGAAAAAGAAAAAAACGAGATCACGAATCCTGATTTTAAATCGTGAAAACTTTGGCGATTTGAAATCCCACGCTTAAATCCTAAAATCGGAAAAAAAAAAAAGAAAAAAAATCCCTCTCTCTCTCCTAAATCGCGTCTTTGATATAATAGACATCATCCTCCAAATTAATTTTTTTTCCCTCAGATCCGCTAACTTAGAGCTCAACCCCGCTTTGCTAGTATCCTACGATACTTGCATCGAATCACGTTAATCGCTCTTCACCCACCTACGGTGGCATACAGTACTAGTACTACTCCAGAGCTAGAGGGAACCACCGTAATAATACCGGTAACTTATAATCAATCACCCCCATAATAATTTCTATGGTCCCGTTCTACATTTACTACCGTATCACGTTTAGGAAACCCTTTCTATACACTCACATAATACACCCACAATAATACGATGAGCCAGAATCCATCTTCAATATCGAATCATCGAATCCCCGCCCCGCAATACCGTACGAAGTACCAGTACTGGTATGATACACTTTTGCCCTCCCCCCACTTCTCGGAACCCGATCTGATTAGATCTCTAGATCAGGTATCATATTCCCTCCCTCCCAGTTTTCATCGTTCCGCATGATACGATACAAATATGGAAAAAAAGTTTCTGAAACAAGCTAATTTAAAAAAAGGTACCGTACCCTACCGTATTCGTCGTATCGTGGAATAATTCTGTTCATGCACCCTTACGCTACCGTAACTTGATGATCTCCGAATCGGACCCCGGATTAAATCGAGTGTTTTTTTCGTCATTTAAGGACAGATGGATTTACTACTCGTAAACACCCCCCCCCCCCCCCAAGTTATGATGATACCCGTCAGCATTGGCAAGTGGAGAAAGAACTCTCTGCCCCTCTGGTTTATTCAGTATGACCGGTGCGGAGCGTAAAGTGTCGTTGGTACTTGGTGAATGGTTCTGGACCGAGCACTGCAATGCAAGGGATTGGTGGGGCGGGTCATGCATATCCCGGGCCAGATCTGACAGAGCCCTGTCCGAGTATCGTCCCAGAGTCATTTAACCTCGAGTGACCACTGGTGATCAACTGGCACAGCGCATTGTGCAACGGAGTACAGTACTGCGTGAACAAGGATTTGGAAAATATACACCCTGGGTAAAACTCTATCTACTACACCCCTACTGCGCGAGGCATAGGGGAGATGCTATGCAATCTCTTACCCACCGTATCTCAAATTTAATTCTTATTTCTTCTAGTACCTTACTTAGCCAGGGAAAACGCCAGGGCCCCTACCACAGAAACCCCCCTCTAAATTTGAATTTTTCCCAAAAAAACCAACTTCGAAACCCCAGGTTCCGCTGTTTTCCACCCTCCAATGAATGGAAAAAGGAAACAATTGCGCCATATCCAGATTTACATTGAAAGTAGAGTTAATAATAATAATGAAAAAAAAAAGAAAGGAAAAAGATATTGACAAAATAAATGACCGGCCAGAGTTACAAGGATGCGGCGACGAAGGCTGCTATTCCGATGGAAAATGCAAGTGCAGAGCTAGCGCCAAGAGGGGAGGGCGCGCTCCCAGAACCGTTGTCGAAATCGCTCTTGTAAAAGTCCCAATCGTACTCTGTCCCCTCAATTTGCCCTGCATCCCCATCAGTGTTCGGGGAACCATCCGCTCTTCCAGGCGATGGATCAGCTGAACTGCCAAAGGCATCGAGCATTTCGATGCTGACGGGGAACGTAGAAACGTCTAGTCCAGGGCAAATTTTCTCAGCATCTGCAAGATCAATAGTGGAGAATCCGAGGTGTCTGGCGGATCTGTGCATGAGGTACGATTGCTGGGTTCTGCAGCTGCTCTGGCAGAAATCCGAGATAAGAGCCGTATCAGAAGCGTTGCCGGCAGTGTTTGAGGGCCAGGCGGGTAGGTCATCATCACTCTTAGCGAGGCAGAAGTCATTCTTGTCTCCCGACTTTCTGAACGTTTGTTAGTGCAATCCTACAGTCATAAAGTCAAAAATGACTGGGGCTTACTCACTGATCCTTCAGACAAAAAGCCCAATAAAGGTTCTCCTGGATAGAGTGCTTATCCTTCAACGCCATTCCCAAGTAAACCCCTGACTTGAGACTATCCGCAAAAACCTTGTCCCTATCATCGCAGCTACCCTGGAGATTTGTGTCCCACTCATTCAAACTATCCACACAATCCTCAGTGCAAAACTCGGCGAGATCATCGTTGCGGAATAGCTTGCTGCCTTTCTCCGAGTCTCTCAACTTGAAGAGATGATCTGTGCAAGAGACCCGCGCAGCGTACGCCTGTGCACAGGATTCACTCAAATTGGCGGCTGGAACAATACCGTCGTAGTCGAAGTCTTTAACAGTCGTATTGAAGTTAACCTTGGCCTGAGCAAGAGTGAGGAAGAGAGATGCGGAGATGAGTGATTTTCGCATCGTAAAATATTGATTGTACCGTACCAGCACGGAATTTGCGCGAGTGAAAGAGCGAAAAGGAATGAAGACAAACCAGTTGTAAGGAGTGTGAGAATTCTAATGAAAAAGGAACGAAGAGAGGGAAATAGAAAGAACGTAAAAGTAACGCTGAAAAAGAAAATCGTGAAGCGGGGGAAAATAACGGAAGAGGGAATGCAGGAGAAAGTGGGACAGGCCTAGATTATAAGCTTGAAAGGGTCCCTGATTCAGATTTGGTGGCTCATGTGAAAGTGAAACCTTCCACTGGCACAAGGAAGGTAGGTGATAGGCGCCAGCAACTGCTGATTGGTATAAATGCACCAAGCGTGTCTGTTGCAACTGCACCAGGAGCCAACCATGAAAGGCTCTTCAAACAAAAATATACCGGTGTATTATAGCTCATAGCCGACCGGCAAATTTAAGCAGCTATCCCGGCCAAGCCGATACGAAAGTGCGATGGATCATACACTACTTGTAAGAGCCTTGCATATTTGTTGGCGCTGGAGCTATGTAATGTACCCCACTATGCACAGGGTAGACTGGTCAATAGGGCGGGAAGCACCCGTGCAAATAAACTCGAAACCACAGATATGATAGCTCTGAGATGATCTATCCAGAATGAAAGGGGAAAACTGCGAGAAACTCAAACATCAACGCAACCATCCCCCAGGAGAGAATAGTACACTTTGTGAGCCACCCTCCGAGAGGCTACTTCCCACTACCCAACCCCTGCAGGGTCTTTGTTGCGGTTGGTGAATGTGAACCCATGAGTTGTTCGATCGGCTTTCGTGAGGTTTGCCGGGGGATAGCCTAGCCTACCATATCTCGTTTTGAGGCCCGTGATGGCAGTCGTTACCGTCTCATCGCGCCCGTAACGCTCATTCCAAACGAGTAACGACGCCACCCAAATCGCCAACAATCGCCAATAATCGTAGAAAACGGACCCGCATGGAGAGCAAAGAAACCTTCTGTCTGCGGAGCGGATATAAGGTACCAGGCAAACCGCAATACTGAAAGCGGTCGCCTGCGCGGGGTCGACTGTCGGTGCTGGAAGGGGATAGGACTGAAGATAGGCGTTAGCATTTCGATGGTGGAGCAAAATGCAGTGTCTGTTTCCCATCCTTTGATTGTTTTTTTTTTCTCCTCCTTGACTCCGAGCAAAAGGGGGAGAAGCGGGACATTTAACGTGATGAAGCTCAGTAAGAACGAGCCCCGTCCCCCCCCCCCATATCCGTGTCCTGGGAGTCGCGGGGTCCAAGCACAGGGTACCTAATGCACATTACGATAAGTCTCTCCTACTACCGTACCGTAAGATACGACACCGGCAGCTGGATTCTAGAGAGGACAATGTTTCTGTGGGGTTAGGGCTCTTGCTCACCTCCTATCCCTTTTGCCCAGCTCGCTTGGATGCTGTACCGCCGGTACGAGTATGGGCAATACCGGTGCCGGTAGGTGTCCTCAAACCTCCGACGGGTTCGGGGCGCAGACCACCCGCCAAGAAGCTTTAAAACACCCTCACCAATGAGGTCCGGTTCAGATCGTCAGTCACTCCAAAAATCCCCAGTACTGTACTCGAGTACTAGTACAAGTACCGGTATCAGATGATAAAAAAAAAGAAAGAAAGAAAAAGGTACTTGTACTCGTAAACTCAAGATAAAATCTTCATCTAAGCGCTGGCCGTGTCCTAAACAAAAGGTTGCGTAACCCAGTCAAGCCAAATACAGTAACATTTCAGCCGATTTGTTCGGTTCAAGAGGTCCAGGGTCCATACGCATGAAACCTAACCTGAAAAGGAAATCCCCCCCTTCCCCTCGGGGGCGTGCGGTATGATACGAGTACATACTTTGGCCTAGCCGCCCTTTAGCCCATTCCTTCGACATGAAAATATTTCCTTCAAGTTCACCGTACCACTAAATCCCCTATGATACCAGTAGAAGAACGATACGGTAGCCCCCATCCACTAGCGAGGGCTTGTCCAGCTCCCACAATAGGGACTTTGCGAAAAGACTCTGGATGTGGGTCAAACAGGGTTCCAGGCCAACGAGATCGCTAGAATTTGACTCTGGATGCGAAATCGCAAAGTCTCTAATGACTGAATTAGCAGATGGTTCCAATGTAGATAGAGGAATCTGGATAGCTCTGGTGGCGGGTTTCTATCCTAGACCCATTCAAGCAGAATATCCCTATTTCGACTACCGTAATGCACAGTAGCATAGGTCCTCCCCCCCCCCCCCCCGCCCCAGCCCCCGGCACTCGTGCGATGAGGTACGGAAAGAAATCGAATCTCGAGTGATTACCCGTGAGTTCGGCTGCGTTTTTCTCTCTCTCTCCATCTATCATACGGTAGGGGAGATGACTGACTGACTGACACACCGCGCATTTCTCCTCCGTTAGGGCAACGGGCTACTGTGGTCCGCCTGCGCCGCTAAATCCGAGGTATAATATAATAATATTGATATGATACCGTTTTCGGTGCTCCTTCCAGTAGATCAGCGTTAAATCCTGACCCTTTACATAGTTCCCAGTCATCAGATATTAATAGTAATACTCTAGCGCGGTGCGTCTGGTCGACTCCTCTACCGGTATTCGTAGCAGGCAAGAAGCCAGTACGGTACAAACACTAGTGTGATACGGCGAAAATAATAATGATGGGTGGGTACTTGTACGTACCCGGGCGCTTACAACGTGTACGGTAAGTATCATACAGCTTCACGTACCCGCTTTTGGGCACTACTTGGGTGTACCGTACGATGGTAATAGTACGGTACAACCATAGGCCCTTGCGCCATAACAACCGGTTGGCAGTGGTCAGGTATCCGAAGCTGCAATTTTAACTCTAACCTACCGCATTACACCTCCTACCCCCCGGGGGTACCGGTAGCATCGAGGACTACGGTTTCTCGCCGAGACAAGGCGTTGCTTAAGGTTGTGTGTGGGGGGGGGGGGTGCGATTGGACTCGCAGGTCACTTATCGTGCAGAGTTCTAGGTCCAGGCCACGCATCGCGGAATACACACCCATTTTGACGACCAAATTCAAAGCTGGAGTCGCCTCACTTATGCTCGCGCCCTGAGATATGGTACCACCTGTGAAAAACAAAGAGTCGCCATCTGGGAGACATTGGCATTTCGGCCTAAACAAGGCCAAGGATTTTTTTTCTTTTCGGGTACTCCGACTCTACGTATTGTAGCAGAGTAACTAACCGTGAGCAAATTCCCCACGGAAATACCATACCGCGGTAATCATCACCCTTCTTCAGTCCCATCTACTCTTCCCCCGATCAAGTGAGTAATCTGCCAAGATGCAGATCCCATTTGAGGAGTGAGCACGAGCACCATAGTACCGTACGGTACTATCCTAGCACTTCAAGCGGGTACCGGTAACGTCAGCTTTTCGGGTGACCCAATAGAACGTGGCTGAGCGCACTCCGTCCGTTTGATCGCCCGCAGGACGGCCGCAAGCTAGAGACCCCATGGACCATGGACGAGGGCGATCACAGTGCGCTCTTGCATTCTACTGGACGGCTATTATAGAACCGACGCTGCTTACTCTACTTGGGAGCGTCATGCCGGCGGTGCTTATTGGCGTGAAATCAGTGTCTTTTCTCAACTAATACCCGCCTAGAATAGTAATCAATAACTTTTGCGAAAAGAAAAAAAAAACGGTGTGACTCGAGATTATACGGTACAGTACTAGTACAGTATCATATCTTCCTTTCCTTCTAGTATGATATTATACGATACCTCCCCAGACGCCCTCAGCGCAGTGGCACACACTGCCTTCCCGGTTGCGTGTTGGGGGATCTACAGTACGCGCGTGTGATCCTTTACTAGTGTTGTACTGGTATTGGGGATGGGAATTTATCCGCGATCGACTGGTCTTAGGCAGTGAAATTTGGGGGTTGCCGTTCCACCATACTTGCCACGTTTTCCTGCATCCTTCCGTTGTTGCCCCTTACATCGTGACGGATAAGTAATAAAAATACAAGTACTGTCATGGTCGATCTCACTCGCGGCTCAGGTAACTTTCTTGGTCATCGTGGATCCTTCAGGGGATCTTAGTTTGTTTCTTGAATTGCATTTTCTTCCTCTTCCTGCTCCGCACCGACAAATGTAATGGCATCAGAGAGAGGGAGTCCGAGGGCGTCAAGGGAGGGAGGTCTTACCGGTATTTTGGGGGTGGCTGTGCGAGCTCACCTACTGCATCATACTGAATCCTACCGGTGGTAGCAGGTGGCGAGAATTGGAGGAGTTCAGCAGCCCCGGGGTTGGGAAACATTTATGCAGACTTTTCGAGTTGAAGGACTTTGGTGTGTGTAGCAAGTTTTTTGCGCCCAAACCTGGCACAGTAGGCGCACTCGAAACTGGGCACTCGAACAACGCTTTCTTAACCCTGGGGATGAATGCCTCTATTTCTTTTCGCTCGTGGAACGGTCTCCTTTCCCAAGCAGAGTCTGAATGCAAAATACTCTCCTTGGGGTAACAGTAGTCTTAGTTGAAGAGAAACTCTGCTTCACCAAGGCTTTTGCGGAGTGACCATACTCCCACTAGCCTAGTACCACGGAAAAGCGGTGGCCAGACAGGACGGGAAAAAGATGGACAAAAATGTTATCTTAGCTCCAAGTTTCATATAATATTGGTATGCACAAATACAATTACTTTACTATTATTGTACTATTAGAACAAGACATTTTCATAAAGATAAAATATAGGTAGTAGTAGGATGTACCTATTTTTCCTCTACTATAAAGAGTACAATAGAGTTTATATATTATTATCAACCTGAACAAGTACCTCAAAAGAGATTTACAAGTAGATAGATAATAAATTAACTACTATATATTATTTACTAGTAGCTATAAGTATTTAGAATACCTTGATTGAATATATAATAACAAATTCTAAGTGTCTTTAAAGAGACAGATTGTTCTTTTCAACTATTTACTTTGAAAGTAACTCTATGTAATATAAAAAGCAAGGAAAGAGAATATAATCTTGAGTGCATTAATAAAATATTTATAAAGAAGGATTCAGGAATAGGAGTTTAAGTAAGGAGCTCCATTATATGAATAGATAAATGATATAATATAATAAGAGGATAATTAGAAAATTATCAAAAATTAAATGACTAGTAATAGTATATAAAAGATATTTGTAATTAATAAGGGGTTCCACTGACAAATACCTGTTAAGAAAACTATAAATAAAATTACTAATAACTATTATGAAATATTAATAAAATATATGTAATGCAAATCTTAGCTTAGACTCAGGCTATTATAACTTGAATGTCCATAGTCCAAGTCTCTAAAAGATTCTGTAATAACACTAATTAGTAAAATATATAGCATTGTTTAAGTTAAATATATACTAGTAAAACAAATCTGAAATTCTAATAGAAATTAGAAGACTATAGCTAGAAAAGGACTCAGACCATGTAATGTGATCTCTTTCAAGTAATTATTTTTTTGTCTTTAGCTAGTATCTTTATTTATTGTTACTATTTTGGTTATCAGTAGATATTGCTATAGCTGGACAGTTCTCAGAATTGATCAAGAACAATCTGTTGTTTTTATCCCCCCACGCCCTGGATTACATAATCATATCCCCCAGTCAATTCAGCCGCTTAATCTACCTTTTTTCTGCATCCGATGTCTGCACTCACCCCCTGCTATTCCGGTACAACGGGTCAATTTTTGCTGTAGAAGAGTTTTGGATTCACAGCATTTCATCAGGGGTAACGAGGTGTCCGTATTACCGCGATCAGGGAAAACGGGGTTTGAGTGTACTGTCCTTGAGCCGCCGTAATCGCCTGTTCGTGCGCCCAATCAAGCACCCCGTGTGCACGTGCCCGAACATTTCCCAGCCGCACAGCCCTACAGGGAAGAGGGGATTACAGAGCTTCATTACACCGCTTTTTTCTTGCCAACGCCAGATCCAAACATACCATACTCCTCTGCTGAGCTTTCGACATAATGGATCTTCAGTTCAAATTCGCCGGGGGCATTCTATGCTTGATTAGTCTGATATCGTCATTGACTTCCGGAGCGAGGGTCGCCCTTCAACCGAGGGACGCAGAAGTGGACTTTAGCAACATGCCTGTGTGCTCGAAGGCGATTTGTACCCCGTATGTTCCGCTCCCTGCTCTTCATTCCACTCCCCGCTCATCTGCTCCTCTTGGGCCTTCAAGCCTGGACCTGAAAAGCTGATAGACCTGAATAGGATATTAAGCTCATTGCTGGATTGCGGGCAAAATATAATGACAGACTGCTTTTGCGGAAAACCGAATCCGCTGGCATGTGCTTGGAGGTAAATTTCCACAACTCCCCTTCTGCGATCTGCCTACTTACCTTTTTTCTCCCCTTTGCTGATGCATGATAGTGTGAACTGGGATTGTTGGAACCGTACCGAAGACTGGTATGATACGCAGTGCCCGGGAAAACCACTTGTCAACCTTTCCAGTGTCCCCAGCTGCGCACGCAGTTGCTTTGATAGAGCGAATGTTTGCCTCGAGCAAACCTCCAACTGTGTATGCTCCCAGCCCAGACCCGGTTGCAACTCCTCCACAACTACATGCAATTCTATGGAGATGGACATGTACAATGCTTGGTATACAAGGTCTTGCGAGTATGGACAGATTGCGCCGAGCACGAGTGTCTCGAATCCTTCCGCAGCGAGGCCTACAAGCTCCACTTCCGGCGGTTCTACCTCACCCCCCTCTATTGGTGGGGGTGGACGCGGAGGTTTATCGACGGGAGCGATTGCCGGCGCGGTTCTCGGCGCGGTTGCGGGGACTTTCGCCCTGGGCGTCTTCTTGTATCTCTTCTTAAAAAAGAAAGATCCAGATCTAGGCTACCCCGCTACAGCGGGCCCACACGAGTTGGGAGACTCTCCGAATCCAAAGATTAGGCCTGATTTGGTCCCGGGTGTAGTGCAACCGATACCACTTGTTGAGGCCCCGGGGGACTATAGGTGACTTGTCAGTCATCTTTTTGGTCCCATCCCACGATTTGGATAGGGAAGATTTGACGGGTGATTATATGAGGATAGATAGGAATTCGGAATTTGGGCACTGCTGTCCCTTCTTTCTTTTGTTTCTCCGATATGTTTCTTTAGCTTTTGATTCCTGTGTGCGCATGTGTTCCCTTCCAGAAAGCATTTTTTTAGCAGTCTCCGGTGTGAGCTTTGAAACATGGACACACAGCATTTGTGTTTTTCATCCGCCTACGTTTCGCCCCGATCCTTCGGCCACCGGTACTATATTAGAGTATTAGAGTATCCGCAGCGCCACGCATTATAGTATCGTGAAAACAACAATTCGCTATCGGAGCACCAGTGGAAATCGCCGCATCAGCCCGTCAACGAACACCAGGGGATATCCGATACAAGAGCTCTTACAGTACTCTTATGGACAAAGCGTAGCCGTTGAGTGCGAATTGGGGGGAATACCGCGCACACGGCCGTACTTGGGAGAGGGGATGGCAAATATTAGAGCCTTCTGTAGATTTTGTGCTTGCAAGTTGAGAGCTGAAGTAAAAAAAAATCACCCAAATACCCAACCGAGTCCTTGTTCTTTAAGTAGAGGGAATAGGCACAAAGGGTGCCCATTAATAGGATAAATTGAATGCGCCCGGGCAAAGTTTGATCCCCCCAGACAAGTGGATCTGGGGTTGATTCTAGTCTATCAGAGGGTTGAGGGCCCTCGACGGCAGCTATTAAGAAGCGATCTTCCCATTCCTTTTCGGTTAACAGTATGATGCCAGGCTTCCTAGGCAGCTTTTGTCCCTCGGGAACGGAAATACTCAATTTATTAAGTTAACAAGATGTAATCCCAACCCCTGCCCCGGGCGCATCCGATCGTGCAGGCGCCAACGACACTTCGCTCGGTCGACGTGTACTCGAGTACTGTTACCTGAACGGTGCCGAGGTTCAGTACTTGTACGGTGGTCGCTTACGACTGCTCGCCGTGCCAAGGTTCCTGCCGAAGCAACCCCTCGAGTAACACATCAAAGTGCTCCCGATTTTATTTTTCCCTGTGGGAGTGATCATACCGTGAGTGAAAAACGAGAGTAAAAACATGGATCTTTGGCTGAAAATTTCAAGGGATCAAGTTACCCTCTCTCTATCTTTCTCGATGGAAGTATCATAGTCATCTGCTCCTGTTTTTCAATTGCCCGGGTAACCGAGCGACTTGGTACGAATGAGCTTTCCTGGTGGTGCACGTCAGCATCCTCATAGCCATCACCCCCCCACAAGCTCAACGAGACATGTTTGTAATGATAACAATAGCAGAGAATATATTATGATTGTCTGCTTCATGGTATGCAAAATGACACCAGATTTCCTCACGAAAGCACCTCGACGCCCTTAGAACCCGTCCAACGAGCGTGCAAACTAGGAAAGAGGAGAGAGGAAACACTCAACACCGAATCGATCGAGGAACAGGTCAACGACCAAGCGGGTACCGGCGAGGGAAAGTGCCGGAAGTCGCGGTCACTCACTTGCTGCTTTCTATACTCAACCCCCACTATATAGAGTACAGGTGCAAGACGCTGGCGAAAGATACAAGAGGGCGGGATTAATTATGCCAGGATGATGCTCGTGGGATAAAGGAATAAAGCATGCGGTATGGTGTCCGAATGCCGTAAGAACCCGAATAATTGAACCTAGCCCTGGGACGTCTAGAATTCCCTCTCTTGGATAGGGAGGGCCGAGAGCGCGGCGAAAACCAACCCCCCTGAGCCCCAACTTGAGACAAACAAAAAAAGTAAAAAAACGCGGCACCATACCAGCAGAGGCAACTCCAACGTCCTATCATAGCCCAAGGCTTAATCATTCGAGTTCTTACCGTACCGGTATGCAGGCTGCAGGACAAAGTAGCAACACTATCCTTATCATACGGGTCGCACTGTAGGAAGGATCGGGAGACAGTAGCAGCGGGCGTGGGAGCTCTGCTTCGTCTCCAGAATTTGCGTGAGAGGACTACGGATGTTACTGACTGCCAGTAAGAAGAAGAAGAAAGTTCCGTATATTGGGACGCTACGGGATGTCCATATCCTGAGTGTGATACCCCCGATTGCGTCCTTTTGCTGTCAGCATTACCCGATCCCCTCCTTGATACCGCACCGCCTTCCTACGGAGTATGATGCCTACAGTAAACTACCCACTCGCTCGCTTGTAACTTAGCTGCAGTGTCTCCCAAAAATTTGGCCGCACGGATTCACCTATTGAGGTGAAGGGGGGTAATAAGACATTAAGGCACTTGGGCAGTCCGTGTTGAGAACGCTCTCTTCGGCAAGATCTTGGTAGATGGGATGGACCGCACGGCTTGGAATACTGGGTGGTCCGAGAATGGCTAGGGGACCCGGAGAGAACAACGGAGGGGAATCCTTTATATACCGGTAGTAGAGGGATTAAAGCGTTGCTACGGTACGAAAACGGGTCGCTTGGTTAGGTTTAGTGGATGAGAACTCGATTCCTTTCCTACAATCCTCAAGGTGCACAGCACTCTACTAGCACAGTACTACCGGTACTGTACCAAGAACAGTGTATTCGACCAGCTTGATGGTCTTCTTCCTAAGGCTAGAATTACAGAGACTAACTGGCGGCGCGGGGGTGCTGGAACTACGGAGGTGAGCAGTCTGTGCAGCTCATTGTACTCGTAGCACTGGACGGTGTATTTATAAGTTGAAAGCGACTTGTATAATACGGTACTAGTATTGTGCTCACTAACGATATGATGGCAGGCGCTAGCAGAGGGTTTCCCGAGCGGCTCTTAAAACTTACCTCCCAAGCGGGAATTTGCAGTTCCTGGCGGAGACCGGAATCTCTATTACCGGTGGGTAGTGATCAGTTCTACTATGATGCTTTGCTATTGGTGGGACGGCACTTGAGCATTGATGGCGATAATCCCTCCTTCAGAGCCATGGATTTTGCCGAGGATGCAGAGGATGCAGAAAATGTTTTGAGCCAGCAACCGAACATTTCCCGAAGGGTCCAAGGCCCTGCTTTCGGAAATTAGGGTCTATCATTGGGGTTCCAGGGGCTCATGGAGATTTTCGCGACAAAATCTCTGTGAAAATCCCTGGGTGAATTTGGCATACCAGTATTGATGGGGACATCGTGATCCTGGCTTTCTTTTATCATCGGGCTGTTGGTTGCGACAAGCTGAAGTCCAGTTAAACTACTAACTGTGGCTGATGTCGCCAAGGGCCCGCAATCGTTGGCTCAGAGAGCTGCAAGCCACCCTTCACCTTTTTACCCCATCACAATCGACATCCCACGATCGCAATAGGAAAACATATCATATTTGAGTAGATTACCAGACTCTAGCGCCATAGTGGAAGCAATTATTAGCCGGCACTTGGGGCTGAGGGGGGTGGCAGGAGGGTTGGGATGTAGACACTCATACAAGCCGTAAAATAGACGATTCAAACCTAGAATGGAGGATAGTTCTTACGATTGTAGTCAATTGGTCACCCGCCATTGCCACAAGAGATCGGGAACCCCAGGCGCTCCAGAGCTTATATTCCGGACACACCAAATGGTTCACAAGACCGGAAGGTACACAGTCGAGCACTCGACTCAATCCGCGTGTACAGTTCTGTACTTTTCAGCACGGGAACGGTGCCCCATATCACGACAGCCATTTTTAACATTCTGCAACCAACGGTTCCTCTCCGCTCCCCTCATCCGGGTGTGGGGGCAAATATGTGAAGCGGTATACTTATGGAGCGAAACACGCATTAACTGGCCATGGTAAATAGCAACGGGAGAAAATAAAAAAATAGGCTCTTGTCAATGATACAGCCAATAGGAGCTGGAGAATCGGTTTGTTGAAATCGCCCGAAGTGGTCGCGTGCGTCTTGACAAGTGGACGGGTACCGGAACGGACGATTGAGATAGTATTTCCTCATGAGATCATCCTTTTGCTTCAGAATTCGGCAGGAAGTACCTCCACTTATGGGGTTTCGTGCCTGGGGTATGTTGATGAAGTTGTGGTACTGAAAGGCTAGTGAGCCGAGGTATTTGCTGCGTTTGCAGCATTGTTGTTTGGAGGCCCGTTTCATGCGGTAGCCAAAGCAACTGCCACGTTCCCCTGGGCCTCTCTCTGAACCCAACGGATTAGCAAAAAAAAAAAAAAAAATAACAATGAGGGAATGCGCTGGCAAGATAGGGGAAGATTTAGGGGGTTGGAGGGGGGGAGGGGGAAGGAGAAGAGAGGATAACATAAGTATAGGAGGAGATCCGGATGAGCGATGAGCTCTGAAAGTATTTCGTTTTATTCTATTTTATTTTATGTTATCCTTCCTTCCATTTGGTCGATTTTTCCGAGATCGCCGGTATGATTCTTTTTGTTTTTGAGGGTTGCATCTTGATGAGATTATTATGATGTTGGGTTGGTTAGGCGTTGGTTGCTTGCTGTGGCTGGCTGGATGATTGCTCCTACCCCACTCTCTCACCTCCGCCTCTTGTCAGCAGAACAGCTCTGGCGCCTCTTCCAGCGGGAACTCGGGAGGGCCGTATTTCCTGTGGTGGTCCGCTCCACTTAGGTTTGTCCACACCAACTGGATGATGTCCTCTCTCCCCTTCTTCCCATCCAGTGTTTTTTTTGTCCTGCGGAGGCTGCAGTCTCGGACCTTATTCGAACACTTTTGTCCATCGACACGACGGTAACAGCATAAATCGGCAGCGGAAGGACAACTACAGCACAGAATGCCGGACTTTATGGGTGAACGCGTTCAACTGACCAGCTGCCGCCGGCAGTCACAGGCTGGGAGGCTGCCAACTCAGTCCTAAACCCCGCTTTGCCCATTCACTCAACAATCCTCCGCTCCCTTCTTATCCTGGAATCACCCCCAAGAACCCCTTTTGCTAATGGAGACCATCAGTGGGCCTTTGAGTTTTTGCCTGTGAGGCCGGGAAATGTGGGGAGAAGGGAAAAGGGAGGAGGAGAAACAAGACAAGGAGATATCTATTCTCGCCGACTATCCACCGCTATTCTATTTACTTGGGCAGGCGCTTCGGGTATGAATCTGGGGTCATGGTAGTGGGTAGCTGGGGAAAGACGGGGCAGGAAGGACGGGGGGGAGTGGGCTTTTCTCTTTCCCTCTCTCTATCATGACGGCTGGGGAGTGGGGGAATATGAGCGGTCCGGATGGGCTATTTGGCATACGATTTACACGCCCGCTCTCTACTCTACTTTTAAGTTCTTTTGTTTTGAAGTCGTTTCTTGATCTGATTCCTCTGGCAGAGCCTCAAAAAAGATCGCCGGCAGACAATAGTCTTGTGTCATCTGTCGCTCGGTTCTATTTTTGGGCGGCTGTCCGAAAAAAGCAACTTTCCCAGCCGCAATGGACGCGAAACCGAGAGACAAAAAAACACCAGACATCAAACCAGTCTCAACTCCATTAGCAGCGCGGCTGTATGGTGAAAATGCTCAATCAATTGAGTTATCGGCAAAGTGTTATCTGCTTGCAGAAAAGAAGGCAAGACATGACAAGGAAAAAACCGAAAAAAACAAACAAACAAATGAGAGAAGATAGGCGTGATCTGTTTTTGGATCCCCACGCTTTCGGAACATTTCATCGCCCCCCTTGCCGACCCCCACTCCCGTTCCCTGGGCGGATCCTGCGACTAACCTCACTCGCACCTTTTCCTATCAATATCCATCCATCACCCCAGAACAATAAGGAAGCCCGAATAACCTAAACACGAAAGGAATGGAAATGGTAGGAAAAACACAATTAGAAATAAAACAAAACACCAGGACAAGCTTCAAACAAAATCACCGTTACCAAGCGCCAATACCATTCTAGCTCATACCGTTCGCATCCGGCTTTGCCTTTGCATCTCAATTTCCTTCAGTTCCTTCTGCCACGCAACAATGTTAACCTTTTCCTTTTCGGTCGACACGGGGTTGATGCCTTCGGCTTCCCACCGGGCCACTCGTTCCTTGGCCTGGGCGATCTTCCTCCATGTCACTTCATACTTCTTGCATAACTGACACTTGCTGGCGACGCGAGATGCTTCGAAGATCAATTTCATGCCACAGGTTTCGCCCGTTCGGTATTCCTTGTTGCAGTGAGCTCGGAATCGTCCCCACTTGTGGTCGCCGCAAACAAAGATCTGTTGGTCGTAGAAACACATGTTTGTTTTAGTGTTTCAGATGGGTCGAATGATATTCTGTGGAGGAGGGGGAAAGTAGGGAAGTAGGATCTGGAGATGGCGGGGTGTGTTTCAGAACCGAGCTTGAGGATTGCTCAATGGCGGCTATGGAAGCGATTGGAGTTTTGGAGGCAAGCTTAGATGCTTGTTTGCCTTTCTTCGGAGGGGGAGAGGAGGATGACTTCCGCGAGAAGAGTGATGGCTGTGGGGAGAATGATGGCTGCGAGGAGGATGAGGGGGAGAGATGGAGGTAAAGGCTACCGTGGAGGCGATTGAGAAGAAGAGTGTGAGGATGAGGATGAGGATGGAGATGCAATTGGGGTGATTCGGAGGGGGGGTATTTATCTTGGAGATGCTGTTGATGCGCATCCATATCACAACCCCTCCTCTCTCTCGGGATGATAATTCTGATACCACCAACAGTTACAGAAAGGTCAACTATTTCCGGTCACGCTAGTCAGCCCATTGACATCTTCAACTGCCTCTCGTGAACAACACACAGCTGTAAAGCAGAACGGAGGCACACAATCACAACGATTACCGTTCCTCCTGGTTTTCGATCCCTGCCCCCACACCATCTTTGCACCTCCATCAATTGAAGGCGTCTCGCCTTCACTTTCACCCTTTGTCCCCCAGAAACAGAAACTCGTCCTCCTATTCGATCGCTCCGCCAACTATCTCCCCTCTCTCCGTTTAACCCCTCACGGAGACGCTAAACCATGCACCTCCTGGCCCTGTCCTCACCCTGTCTCACTCGCCCTGCCCTACTAAATCAGATGCTCCGCGGTGTTGTCGTTTCTCATTACTCCTGCTCGCCATCCCTGTTCGCAGAAGCTCATAGATTGGGTTTCAAGCTTGCTCTTCTCATCACGTGTATGTGATGAGCGGGACGAGGTTGCAGATAGTGTGGGGACAATGCATTGAGTGCTTGCTGAATGGTAGTTATTTACGAGGATGACACGGATTTCCGCTCAGTCAGTGGCACGAGATATACCAACAGGGATACAGAGGAGGCACCTTGGGATTGACCTTTGCCAGGACTAGGGTTCTTTTGGGGAAACTTAACGCATGAATTGCAGGTTTCTTTTTACGCCAAAGGTCCGGCTATCAAAGACGATCGTGCCCTCGATTGCTCCAAATCAGTACACCAACACAACATAACCAAGAAAATCAGACACTTCAAACCCCTCACCAACCCCTCTCCTCCAACACCGGTTCCGCTCGCCCCATTCTATCTCCCTGGCCCCACACCCATCTCTCAGCTAAAGCCTTGCCACCCGGGCTCGCCGGGGTCTTATCTCAGCCTTTTCTCTCCATTTGGCCTGAACTGCAGCCGGATTTGTTTTGTTTCGAGTTTTTTCTTGCTCAGCAATAGCGCTTCAACTGTCCGTCCACCCGGGTGGTGTATATGCTGCAGCTTCAGTCACAAGACTATAGCTGCCTCGGTCTTCACTTTGGGGAAATACTGGATTAGCAATTCGGATTGGTTTCCACAAAATACCTGCATCTTATTTTGGGTCTCGCAGCGTTCAGCTGATTGTCATTCTCCTGCACCCCTCCCTGAAGCCTTGCCTTACCAGTATCACGGCCCGGCGGCTTTACCTCTTCCGTACTCTGTTCTTCCAGAGTAGCTCAGATAAGGAAAGCATTGCATGAAATGACTCGTATAGATCTTTCCGCCCATCACTTTTTTTGCTTGTCCCATTGCCCCCCCCCCCCCTTCCTTCTTGCAAACAGACCCCGGGCGCTAGGATCGAGAGTTTACCCATACTGACGTGGCAAACAGGGTATGGTCATCTTTTCAGAGCGAAGAGCCGCAGTTAATGTGCTCTTTCCTATTGCTGGAAGCTCGCAATTACGTCTTTGGGTTCTGGGAGGCGGTGGCCATAATGATTGAGGGGAGCCGGCTCGAGCAGATTACAGTTAACTGCATCAGAGCAGCTTTTGTTGAGCGAAGATTGCCCTTGGAGGTGAGTTTGATTTAGCCCAGTGGAATAGGAGCCTAGAGCTGCTATCCGGGTGGCAAAGGGAACAATGATCAAGCTGGGACTTTGTTCGCAGATTGTGCTTTTTACTTTTGTGGGAGGCACAGCAGCTTCTAAAGACAACTCTGGACCTCCCGGTGAAAGGCAGTACTGCCAGAGAAGCATGACGAGAATTGTACAACAGTAAAGAAGAGGGGGGGCAGTGAAATCAAGGCAGCAGTCGAGGCATTCCACTGAAGTTCTCGGGATTTTGGAGAAGTTTAAGCGCGGCATTTACTTTGGTGTGCTCGTCAAGGAAGAGAGGGAGGGGAAGGAAGTGATTGAAGGGTTAGGCCGGTTCTTGGGGGAAGCTGCAGACGAAGCATGCTGTGGTGGAAAAGGCCTAACTGTCCTACACTAACTCCATAGCGTCCGGTTTTCTTCTGTTCTTGTTCAGTCATTACTTTTTTGCGCCCCGTCCCCCGACCCCTCCATTTCTTGATACGCACGTACTGTTTCCATTATTTTTGGCACATAACGCAGAATAAACACCGCTCTTGATTTATTTGAGATTGATTTTCACCCCCTCCTTCGCTACGGACTCGTTTCCCCTTCCTCC